GGCTTGAATGGGCTGCAGCCCAGGGGCCCCGCCTTAACCCGTTTACATTTGTTTGATTTGTTCAGTTATGTGCCAGTCAGAAATTATTAGCCGCATTTCAACTGCGCACACGGGCCAGCCGTGGCTAACAACTTCCAACTACGACCTTCGAAGTCATAATCAAACAGCATAAACTGGAATTTATGATTTTTTTCACATAGAAAAAGGACACACGTATTAAATCACGTCTGCGCCGAATCGCCGATTAATTTGTGATCACATGGCTACTTTAAACAGTTCCATTAAGCCTTCAGCCCAAAAGAGCGCACATTTAGAAATCACATGTTCACACCTCACTTCTTTACAGAGGATGATTCTATATTATATTAATATAGAGTTTTGAGCGCTCTCTCACGTCCAAAGACTATAGAATACCCCAATATCTTACAGGGACTTTGTCCCGTCTCGGGATTGCGCATTTTGGTTTTACTCATTCCCGCAGGTTTCGCACAAAATTCCCGCAAACATTTATTTAATATACAATGTAGGTTAGAGGAGTTAAAAAATTGACACAGAATATCAGATTAAGTCAGTCATTTGAAAACAGCATGAGTGGTTCAGCTGTACCGCGTCTTCTCGCTCTCACTCTCTCAAAATTGCCTCACATCAGCGCATCTCGTCTGCACTAAGAGAGCTGCTGCACGCTGCACACAAGACTTTCGCTCAGCTGACAGGACTGTCACGTGCCTAATCGGGTCAGTGTTGCATCATCACTTTTAAACTATTCGGTACTTGCATGCTCCAAACTAGTTTTCTGGGCACTCACGGTCACATCCAAAGCACGCGCGCACATGAAGCCGCGCAAACGCCTCCAGAAAAAGTTATTGTTTTCATTGTTTCTGACTCAAGTAACCTTGCATTTTAATAAATAATGTTACATAAAGGCAATTAAACAGTATAAATGAACAAGTTACTAGCAATAGCACAAGGATACAAATGAAACAAACTGTGCTTTAACTTTTTCAGGTTGGCTAGCCTAAAACTAACAGTAGCTGCTACTATTCAGGAACAAAATACTATGATGTATAAAGTCATAGATATAGATTATATTTATATATTAATCCATATTAAATATGAAAAAGTTATTTAGTCAAGAGCAGATTTGAGCAGAGTGATTTTTTTTTGTTTTTTAACACAGATTGACAGACAGCCGG